ACTAGACCTACAGCGCACAGTTTAAATGTATCTATAGCTGTATATGCAGCTGTATCTATAGATGTTTCTGCAGCTATATTTATATCTGTACAAATTGTGTGGAATTGTTAGGAAAATGCTTTTGGGCATTTCAAGTGAAATTTGTTAAGTAACTGCCGCAGAATGTCGAACTTAGTTATTTAGTTTGTGCCGCAAAAGACTGCGGGCAATTGGGCGACATCTAACAAGCATTTATTTAAACTTTTCCCTCTATCTGCCTATGTGTGTATTAATGTGCGAGTGTGTGTGTCTGTGTTTGTGTACATCTGCAATGTAGAATGTTTAATTAGAGTATGCAAAGTTGTTGCAACAGCTGTAGAGGCAGCAGCAGCAGCAGCAGCTGTATGCGGAATACAAAATTGGAGTATGTGTATCTCAAGGATTCTTGTAGTTGTCATCGTCGACTTTTGTGCGTAGCCCCTTAAACTTTTGAATATTTTCGGTGCTCTTTGTGTGTGTGTGTATGTGTGTGTGTCTTGTACGTTTGTTTGTTATCGTGTACTAGCCATCCTGTCATGTTGCTGAAATTGATATTTTAATTAATTTTCCGTACACAAAAGTTACGTGTACTAATGCACATAACTTTTAAATGACCAACTTTTACCTGAGCCAAAACATAACATCAAATCGTATCATCTTTTTACTTCATTAATATCCTGCCAGAAGCAGTTCCCCCTTGTAAACAAGGCAATATGTGTGCGAACAAGAGCTGAAAGTAAAGAAATTGTATTTATTTCACTCCACTCTGTGTGAGTGAAGCCAAAGTGGAGTTAGCCAAAGGAAACCTTTAGCAGGAAAATTTAACAAGTTGAGGAAGACAAGTAAAAAAGGTAATTAAGTAGAACTAGCTTAAGCATCCTTCCACTCTTACACTTTCTCTATCCATTCTTGTGCGGCATTCGCGAACGTTTGCATTTTAAACTAGCAGATTTTACCATTTCATTTACAACACTGGGTTTGCTTATTATTTAATGCGGTATGATTTTATTTTATTTGTTTTTTGTTTTTTGGGTCAATTCTCTAACGGGTTATATAGAATTTATGGTGATAATTTGTGCATGCCACATCGTCAATGGTTGGGTGTCTATTTGATAAGACCTTTATAATTTGGAGCCGCAACAAGAATTGCAGCCCTGACTGCAGCAGGGTCCACAGCAAGGACCGCAACAGGGCCCGCAACATGGTCCACAGCACGGACTGCAGCTGACGCTGCAACATGGCCCACAACACGGTCCACATTTACAGGAACAGCAACTGAAGCAGCATGGACTGCAACAGCAAGAGCTACCGCCGCCTCCAGAACATGGACCACAGCACGGGTCACAGCAGGGTCCACAGCAGGGTCCGCAGCAGGGTCCGCAACGGGGTGCGCAACAGGGTCCGCAACAGGGTCCGCAACAGGGTCCGCAACAAGGTTGGCAACACGGTTGGCAGCAGGGTGAACAACACGGTCCGCAACAGGTTCCACAACAAGGGCTGCACATCTTCAATTCGTAAGCTGATCAACAAAAACAATTACACAAAAGTATAGTCCCATTATATAAATTGTATTTCAAACTACACCTTACCTTCAACCCGTCAGAGAATTGAGATTGCTCTCGAATTTTATGTGCTTTCTTGCATAGAAATTGTATATTATGAGTAAGCGCTGCCATTTTGTCATACATTTGAAAGGTCACACGATTTTTAATCGGAAAGCATTTAAAATTTGAGTATCCAAACAGACTTTTTGTCTGTGTTTTTTTTTTGCTTAACATATGTGCATATGTGATTTTTACATCCCTATTATCTTGATCAGCTTCGTCTATTTCTATTTAAATCATCTCCAAATTAGCATTTCTTTTTTGTATTCCCAAATCTGACAACTCACAATTACCGTGGTAACTGCTACCGTTGTGTTCTATTTTTCGCCAGCGGCTCATTTCCAGGAGAAAGCTAAACAAAGCCTTGGAAAATTGTTTGAGTACGAGAGCTGCCTCAGAGGCAGGACAAAATCATGGCATGCTTTGACAAATCACACACTGCTCCTGTCGCTCAACCAAAAACCGACAGCCCGCATCGATGCCACGCCCCAACAGCTACACCAATGCCGCCTTCAATCCCTATACCTATTCAATGGCAAGAGTCTTCAACTCCCGTCACTGACAATTAAACGGCTTTGATCCTTTCAACACGCCTTCAATTTTGGCGTGTCGATTGCAGTGCATGTGTGTTTGTGTGTCTGTGCATATGTGTGATGCCGCCGGCTGTGTATGTGTGCGTGTGTGTGTGTGTGTGTATGTGTGTGCGAATGTCATTCAAAGCACTCATGTGTGTATCTGGCAGCGAGGCAAAAGGCGACAGAACGAAGCATTGATATCAGATATCGCACAGGCATTCGATGCACACACACTTTCACAAACTACGCCAGCACTGCTTCATATAATCTGTGGCTGTAGGACTTACACAGATATGCAGACGAACACACACACACACACTCGCATACGCACACGCAGACATACACTCACTGACAGGGAAATGGAAAAGAGTCACTGCCAAAGGCAGAAGGACACAAAATGGGCAAAGATGAAATGATTGCTGATTTCTGGTGGAGACAGGGGACCCTCATCCTCCTATACTGCATCCCATATCGGCTCCCTGCCAAGCGTACTGCCAACACACATACGCCTATACGTATGTATCCCCTATCTGCCGGCGCCGCCATGCCAGCCGCTCGCAACTTGAGTGACGCTAACCGTCACCGGTGCCCATCAAAAAAAAGGTCGCAGCAATTAAATTGACGTACGAGTTGTCAAACTCGAAATCATTCGCCCTTTTAATTGGGACACAATTTCGGATCAAATCATTTTGCCGCGGGCAAAAGCGCTTGTCTTTTAGGAGCTTTAGCAAATTGCTCAGGTCTTTTTTTATCGATAAATGTTTGGGGTTGTTTTGCATAACATTTTTCGATCAAATTTTCCTTTTTTTTTTTTACTGTATTTGTCATTTGTTTGAAGTGACATCTAAAAAATAATTGGAATAATTTCTTGGGAACTAAAAGCTATGAAAAATGTGGAAAAACAACAAAAAAAAAAAACATAATTTTTAACAAATGTTAAGCAAATATAAATAAATAAGAACAATTGATTGGAAAATTTAACCAATAAAGTACCTTAATTTAAGACAAATAAAATCAAATATTTGTATATTTTTTTAAATTAAAAAATTGGCGGAATAAGTTGGATTGATCAAATATTTGTTTTTCGTTTTCGAATGAGTTTTCTTTAAAACGTGTGCTTCAGACTCGCTGCGCATTGGGGTCACGGCAAACATTTGCCAATTGCAAACAATCAATTCCTACAACAGTTGGTATACATATGTATAGCCACACGATTTTGCTTTCATAAACAAGCGAATAACTGAAAGTGTCAGTGACAGGCTGTTCAAGTGCATCAAGATTCGAAGTTCAATTGCCTCACTGGGGACAGCGTAATATTATCCAAACATTAATTTTCTACCATCAAGAGGGATCTGTGCACTCATCAGGCAAAAATCAAGTGAAAACGCGAGAAAATCAATGGCAATTCGGGGACTGGGAACTTGGTGGGTGGTGGTTGAATTGAGTTTTAGCTGCGAAGCATTTGATTCGGAGAAATTGCTAGTTAATTGGCGTTTCAGCAGATGCCCAACCACTTCCGCACCACTGGGGCGTCGCCCCCTGAGTGGTTGAGTGCGTATTGCCAAATCATCGTCTGCGGTGACGCCGCAAACAACAATCAATTTTAATGAACGCCATTCATTAAGAAAAAAAAAAAAAAACTTTTCAACGCGAAAATCACAATCGGTGGGGTTTGAAGGGAATGGCGGTGAGTAGCATGGTGGCTGGTATATGTTGTCGACGCATACAAACCACTTAAAAGGTGTTGATTAATTCGAAACCAAAATCTGACAGTCGACGCCAAACCAGACACAAGCACGCCATCCATCGTCACATGCAGCTGCCATATATGTGTGTCCTCTTGTGTATGTGTGTGTGTGTGTGTGTGAAGGTGTGGCAAGTCCTCATATCTGTTCAACTCACTTGGCGGTTTTGCTAGCTGGCATTCTGCGGGCTTTGCGTGCATAAGCATTGAGCGCATATTTGCCACATTTTCAATTAATGTTGTTGTTGTTGTTGTTGCTGTTGTTGTTACTGCTGCTGATGACGTTGTGGTTGTTTAACTTTCCACTGCCACTGGCGGCACTTCATACAGCTTGTCAATTTTGAATGTCAAACAAAACGCAGCATAAATTCATTCATCAGTTGTGCCAACAAATACAGTCCATGCTGGAGATTTAGCTCTTTATACCCTAAAACCATTAAAAATTGATAAAATGGGTATAATGACTTCGTGCAAAAGTATGGAACACGCAAAGGCAAACATCTATGAGGAAGATATAAGGAGCTATAAGGAACATGTATGATCACGCGAATCTTTGATGCTATAGAGCTAGAGTCTTCAAATTTTTAACATTTTCTAGTCAATTTTGTTCAAGTGGCAAATGGGTGAATATCAAATAAATAATAGATAACATAATATAAATATTTTAAAAGTTTATTTAGAAATAAATATGAACATAATCCTAAGCAAGTGGTAAATGGGTGAATATGAATTAAATAATAGATAACATGATATAAATATTTTAAAAGTTTATTTAGAAATAAATATGAACATAATCCTAAGCACATATCATATGAAAAGTGTCTAAGAACAAGACAACAAAACGGCAATTTTCGTGCAGCTTCAATAAAGTTGGTGGCATGCGAAATCTCAGCCTCAAGTCCTGGGCTGTTAATCACACACCTATTAATGGGCGTGGCTCACGTGTGCCACGTACGTGACATAAGCTTTGTCGAAGCAAAGCTCAAATTGCCATTTCGATTAACTAGAAAATAACTTTTCTTGTTTTTTCTTTTCCGCTCCGCCTCAAATCAATTTCAGCATCTCATCCACAGACAAGAGCAGCTGCCACCGCAACAGCCACCGTCGCCGCCAGTTTTGATGCGAGTAATGTGGATACATCTTCGTCGGCGGCTGCTAGTTTTCTGGGAGCGGCTCAAGTGTCGTCCTTGCTGCCAGAGGTTGGCGCCCTGATGGCCACTGGTGTCCTTGTTGAGCCCTATCTGGACGGCTATGCCACATCGAATGTTACCACACAGATTGGCACCCACGCGTATCTGCCTTGTCGGGTAAGTTGTACTCTGATCAGCTCTTCGTCGATTTCTGTTTGTCGTATTTCAAATTTATTGTTTTTCATTTTATTTGATTATTATTATTGTATTTTGTAAGATTGCGTGCTTGACGCTGCTGCGTGCATGTTTTTATATGTAATTATCGGGGACTCCTATATTTTCCCCCCTCTCCATTCTCTGCCCAGCTTATCGCATAAGCATCTCGGTCATAGAAAACACATTAAATTTTATTGCGTCAATATTTGCCGTACAGCTCGAAGCACTCAGCCACAAGGTGTGACCGCATCGTGTATTTAACACAAAGCTCAAAAACAAATGCCACCAATTCATGCCGCCAGGCACTGTTTGGGGCAGGAACACTGGGGGTGTAACCAGGGCCACTGTTTGCGCAGGTGTTTAAAGGTCAACGATGGCCGAAAGGCAGGCAGGCAGTCGAACATGCAAATTGTTTGCTTAGAAGTTGTAAATATTGTATTGTGCTCCACCAACAAAAACCCAAAGCCGAAATTAAATTTTCACAAATTAGTTTTATGGCATTACGTGCCTTGTTCAAATTCAACAAATGAAATAATATCCCATGAGACGCTTAAACTAAGCTAGCACGCAGAGCAAGTCAAATTCATTTCCAAATAAATTATTGTAGCTAAATTGAAAACTAGTCTCATTCGAAGTTGTATTTTGTTATTATAATTGGATATAAAAATTCAATGAATCGAATTATTATTATTTAATCTAAAGTTAAGAGTATTTTTCTAGAATTAATGATAAGTACAATGCTGAATAAGCATGAATTAATTAATGAAATCTGTTAATGTGTAGATAATATATTTTAGAGACTAAATATACTAATACCATAAAATTAGATTAAATATTAAAATTGGTGTTCTTAAATTCTGTAATTTTGAAGTCATTTAATGCATATAATCTAAAGTTCCTGCTTATGTGTATATGTACATAGCTGGTCCTTCGAAATTGGCCTATAATAACAATTATATAATTGAAATAAATATATAAAATTATAGTGGGACCTCTACTAATTAGAGGTTCCCATTGAGGAGCCATTACTGTAGTCGCCAAAATATGGCTACTGTTCAACTGTCTGTGAAATGTAAAATTGTGTAGCGAAAACCTCCCCACCAGCGCCTAGTTAAAGTAACAATTATGATAACCATAGAATTTAATTGCATGCAAATGCCGAGATGCTTGCTGTATCTGTCTTTATACACAATATCTACACAGGGCTGGAGTGTCTGGAGTCATTAGAGCTAATTATCACGCCCCAGTCCAATTTGTATCTCGAACAAAGTCATCAATTTTTGTGGAGCACACAAAGGCAGCGGCCAGTAATTGGCCGCCAGGTCAAAGGCAAAATGAAATTCAAATTCTCGTGCGGCTCGCACACAAATTGTGGTCTTGCCCATGAATCGTGAGGCAGACAGCAGGCAGCAGGCGGCTGGCAGTTGGCAGCTGTTTCAACTTCAAACTGAGGAATATATTTAATGCATGGCGCAAGCAACTTGTGTTGTAAGTTGCCCAAAAAAGGAACAATGTTAATACTTCGTTGTCATGGTCAATTAAGTGCCAGCACACTGTAGACAACTGGCGCATGCCCGTTCCCCTCCGTTCCCCCTCACAGCATACAGTTTGAGAGGAAAAATGGAGAACTCGTATCTGAATGTTTGTCAATTACGGCCACTCGTAGCTATATTCCCACTCATACTTGCACTTATTCGCTTTACACTTTATGCCCATCGCTGGAGTCGTGTGGCATGCGTTGCATACGCCTCTTTGTTCGGCAATCGCATCAAGTGGCACAGTTGAGCGACTTCTTGCCTCCGAACGGGGAACTGGCTGACCGTCTAGAGCTCCATTCAAAATTGTTCTCACTGATGTCAGCTGAAGGACGTCCAGAGCATCCTTTTGACTTCGTTCAGGTTGCAATTGGGTTATTCAGAGTATTCCAAGCAGCAGCTTATTGTAATTCCTCCTTGTTAAAGGCACACAAAGACACAGACTACACGCTGAAAAAATGCCATTGAATGGAGAAAACAGCCAGGCAATTAAAGCTCGTTTTACTTTGTCAGAAAATAGATTTTTAAAATCTGGAATTGTTGATTGAAGACAACCGTTTTTACTTTTAAGAAGTTTAAGCATAGACACCGAATTTGTTAAGATTAAATGTATAAGTTCGTATATGTAAGGATATTTAAATTTTTTTAACAGAGATTATATTTTGTTTATTTATTTTGTGGAAAGTTGAGACTGCTGTTTAATGTGAAATTAATTTAATCACACAGTATTTGGTAAATCTTTACCATAATTAAATGTGGCACACTCACTTCGTGCCTAATGAGTCCATTACGACTAAATTGAGGCCGAACATATTTGACGACATTTGTGTCTAGGTCGAAAATCAATAGCAAAGTGTTGAATCGACAAAACAATTTCCCTGTAAATTCAGCAAGCCCAAATGCAGTCACAAGTGCATTTTAGATTTACTAAATGCGACACATTTCGATAATATCAGAAGAGGAGAGGGGGAGCAGTAGTAGGGATGATAGTCGGTCTGGTTGTCTGTTTGATAAGTTAAATGCTTAGTTTCTGCTTTTAATTACATTTCAATGTTTGTATCTGTGACTGCGTTTTGTTTGCCAAGCATTGCATACATTTCGGTGCATTAATTTACTCTCGGTTTTGGGCTATGGCAATTTTGGTTTGAACCAATTACAAAGTCACCCACCCCGGCCTTTTATCAATTACTTGTTGATAACTTGAAACATTCAACAGTGTAATTGCCGCAGGTTGTCCCTTTGTGTTGATATTAATTAATGTTATCTGCTTCAGGTTGCACGTTTGACCGTATCTCAAATTAATAATTGCATTAATTTGTTTAATATTTAGTTTAAGAAAGCATGTTAATCCGCTTTCAATCACACAATTGATAAGCTAAACGCCACACAATTTGCATTTCTGTCGAGTTGCTGTAAGTGTATTCAGTATACAGAAATGATGTGCATATATTAATTGTGTCTATCACACATTGAAAGTAAAGCTCATCAAACAATCGTATTTAGTTTCAGTATTATAGTGAGGGATATAAATGATAACAAATGATAAATAGTGAATATTAAGAATACATACTAAATCGCTACAGATTCATTTTCTTTCAACTTCCGTAGAAATCATTTTATAATATGCTGAAATTGAAATGTTTCCTTAAATGTTATGCATTTTTAATTTTGAAATATATAAAACACATATCCAAATATACTATTAATGTGAATATACAAATTAAAGATAATTTTTTTCTTCCTTTGCTCTGCAGGTAAAGCAGCTTGGCAACAAATCCGTTTCCTGGATTCGTCTACGTGATGGCCACATACTCACAGTTGACAGGTAATTGATGGATATTTATTATTGGCTAATAAATACTTGGAATTTTGTATAGCTTTGCTCAATATAACAAATAACTGATGCAGTGTTAAAATTCAAAATAATTGCTATGAATTCAGGTTTTGCTGCAACCTGAATCTATTATTATTTGCTCTCATTGACACCAAAAATATTCTTCATTGATGAATCACTTACTTATGTGTGCATTGGCCTTGAAGCTGTACAAAATTCCATTTGCAATCCAGCACGCTTGCGCATTTATTATTTCAATTTAATATTTATAATTATTAGAATTATTTCATATCTCCATTTAAGCACATGAGTTCTAATGAACCTCGAGCTCATGAAACTGTTGCTCATTTCTAATTCAGACTCCGGCTTAATTACTTGAGCATAATGTGTTTATTCAAGTTGTTGGCTGAAGCTTTTGGCAAAGGATATAAAATAACATTGATAGACAAATAACGAATTTAGTTTATTGTCTCACGCATACAAAGGAAATCCGTATTGCAGATGTTTTTACATATGTTTAGGATGAAAATACACAGAAACATAAGTGAACGAATGTAAGTTCTGATATTTGTAAATACTTGTGTAAATTGAAATATTTTGAGAAATCTTAAAATGATGCAGTTAAGAGCCTTTTGCAAAATGAAAATCTGAATTCGAACAAATGTGTCGAGAGAGAAAAACTGTCACAAGATACATTTTACATTGGAATTTACATAGATCTATTTATTTTCACAAAAATTGTCATATTGTAGAATATTTTTTTCCCTTTGTCTTTACTGCAACTGCAGTAATGCTCTTGATACGAAAACAATTTGCAGTAAATTGTATAAAGTGTGCCAAGTGGCAACGTGTATTTCAATTTCAATCTGCGTGTCCAATAACAAACCAACGATTGCTTCAGGTGAGCCCTCAATGAAGCCAGTTTTCTATAAGTGCGCACCACTTGAATATGTGTCCAATGTCCTTTGCCAACCCGTCCACGCTTCATCTCACACACAGTCTCTGGATTCTATATGACATGCGAACCAGAAACACAAGTGTGTGCAATTTCTTTGCATTTTTTTTCGAAATCTAGCAAAACTTTACATTCAAGTGCCTTCGTCTCTAGCTTATTCTTTACTATCCGCTTGCTAGTTGGCCGCCTGCTGTTTTAGAGTATAGGGATGTTGTGAGTTGAGTTGCGGGTAGCAAACATGTCCAGCTTATTACTTTGATAGAAAAGTAAAATCAATGAACCTTTCACATTAGATAAGGCGGCTGCCTGTTTGTCTGCCAAACGGATGAATGGCTGCTCCTGAATGAATGACTGTCTACAGCAAGGAAATGCGATTGGGCACACGTACGCATACAACCACGCTCACATACGTATACACACACACACACAGACTATGTGCAACAGCAACAGCAATAACTGCAATGGGGAGTTGCAGCTGGGCAAACAGTGAGGACCATTGAAATTAAGCCGAGATAGTGTCCTTACTGATTGCTTCCTTTGCCATGCGGCCTTCCTGCACAGCCACTTCCTTTCTCGGTCGATTGTGTGCGTGTCCTTTCCTGCTCCACTGTCTTATGTCACATTTATCTAGAAAGTTTTCTTATTCTACTACTGCTATTTCTCCTGCAACTTCTGCCGCTCTCCCAAAGATGTCTCACATACCTATCTTGCCGTCACACATAATGGAAATAGATTTGGAAAAAAAAAACTTTCAGCCACTGCACGTTGCATTTGCCAGGATCCTCAACTCTCAGTTCTCGGCCCGTGTCCTGAAATGTGTATTGTATAATAGCTCAAATGATGTGTTTACACTATCCTATAAATGTCACGTGCTTGGCGCCTTTTGTTTGCCCGTTGGACGCATCCTACTAGACTTTGTAGTAGTCCCCCGTACAACAGATTACTTCTGGTCAGAAGTTCACACAAGACAGCGCACACTCGTATACACACTCACATACACATACACACACACACACATACAAATGGCGGACATTTGTTTTGTTGTGTCTTGTGCTGAGACTGGGTAATTACGGTCAGGTGTAGCATGTCTACTTGTTATCTGTTATCTTCGCACCAGGGAAACATGTCATTTATTACAGGGGAATACTTAATACATTTAATACACACTCACACACACACACACACACACACACACACACGCACACACACCACATTTGCATTCCGTAATAATAACCGTACAATATTGATGGTAATTTAACAAATATTTATCTTTGTCAGTTGAATGGAAACTTCTTGTTAGGGACACAATTGGTTTATAGATTAGGCTGTGCTCATTGCACTGGTGACATTTCAATTAAAAATATTAACCATTTGTAAATATACTTTCTTATTGTAAAATTTTCTTGCAAAATATTTGAATATTCCACAATTTAACTGCTTTTCATATTAATATTAATTGTAGCTATGAAAAAACCGCAAAAAAAATCGATCAAGAACTTTCCAATTATCATACAATCGTAACAATATCATAAAGTTAAACTCTTGCAGCTTTCATCAGTATTGTGTTACCTTTTATGACCCAGCACAATAAACACATTCAAGCATTTGTATGTACAAACTTTACTGTTTTATTAACACATATTTTATGAGGATTTGTTGAATTTTTTATAGGTGTAGAATTTTATGCATCTAGAATCAAAAACTCATGACGAAACTTTTTACGAAGTCCTGTTTTTTGTGTCCTTTTAGACCCCAACATAAACTGCAGATGAAAACTTATGTTGTTACGGGTCGCTTTCTGACACTTGGGTAAGAAAACGTCCGAAAAGGAAGCTGAAGAAAATCGGACAAACGCAAAAGAAATGCAGCCGAGGAGTACGAGTGGAGGGGGGGCAATAGAATGTTGTAAAAATATGGAAAATAATGTGGGAAGAAGTCAACGGAACAGGGAAAAACTTCAAAACAAGATGAAAATTATAAAGTAACTACAAAATCTGGATAAGAAATACGGTCGTGTTGCAGCCGGGTAGAGGGGAAGATGAGAAGAGCGGCCACATGACTAAGCAAAAAGGAGGGCACGCAAAGGAAATGGCAAAAGTCATAAAATGTCGAGTTTTACGAGTGCAAAACGCAAGGGTCTAATCTGGGCTTAGTATCAAAACTTGTTAGTGCACGGGGAGAGCCAGACACAAGCCAAGGGAGTGGGAGACCGGGGAGTGGGAGTGGGAGTGAGTGAAATAGAAGGCGGGCGAAGTCAAGGGCTTGAAGCCGAGCGCCTAATAAGCAATGTCAACGCATGTGTGCAACGGGCGTATAGGGGGCGTGGCATATACGTTTTAGTTTCAGTTGGTGCACTTTCAACTGGAGACGGAAGCACTTTTGCACTTTGTGCAAATGGCAGAGGGAAGTTTCCGGGCGAGCGCCGCACAAAAATATTACAACAATGACATTAAATGCAACTTATTTTAGTGGACCAACCCCACCACACCTCTCTCAGCATCCACTTATTTGCATGACTGCTGTTGTTGTTGCAACAGTTCATACACAACAGTGTCGTTGACTTTTTGGAGTTGGGGGCTTATTTTAGAGCGGGAGGTTGCCGCATGTTTAAATGCCGCAACTAAATAATGTTGAGTGTCTTTTGAGTGGCCATTAGCAGTGGAGCTTAGTAGGCAAGTGGGCCTGTTTTTATAGCCGCTGCTATTACTGTTGTTGTTTGTTTGTTTGTTCCACTGCCACTTGCGAGTGTTGCACATTCACCATGCAATGCAATTGTGGCACTCGGTTCGAGTTGCTTAAGTGTTGGCGTAACTATAAACTCGTAGACTCGCTGACTATCTAAGTCATTGCTTTGACTTATAAGATTGCCGAAAATACTTTAATTATATTCCTTGAAGACCGTAACTACATTTATTCTCTTTCAAGATTAAGTTGGAAAATATTTAAAATAATTTGAAATTTGTATACCCTGAAACCCCGGGCCACAGGGACATAGCGGAAAACGAGGCGGCTGATAAGCAAGCAAGAATGGGGACAGAAAGGCCCCTAACAGGACCAGAACCGTATTGTGGCATAGTCAGTCACATTATACGACTGGAACTTAGAAACGAGGAGAAACAGAGACGGCAACGGAGCTGGTCAGAGGCAGTAGGACTCCGACAAGTCAGACGTCTCTTGGGTGGTTATAATCTTGACCGATTTAAGCAAGTTATAACCATGGGAAAGAACAGCTTTAGTATACTTACCGGTCTATCGACGGGACACTGTAGACTAAGAAGTCACCTAATAGTAGCGATCTGTGCAGGTTTTGTGAAAGACAGGAGGAATCCTCGATGCACATCCTAGCAGAATGTATCACCTTAACTAGAAGAAAACGCAGCATCCTAGGGGTGCATGTTTTGAAGGAGTGCAGAGACATAGAAGACCTCAACCCAACAAAGATCCTCTCGTTCGTGCGGAAGCTGGGGCTGATGGAAGAACTATAGGCTCAGAAGGGGGCACAATAAATCAAATAGGTCGCGGTGCAGTTTACCCCACAATAATAATAATAATAAAATAATAATACCCTGAAACCTTTAAATGCACGCGTCTGTCGCAACTCGGCGGTTTCACTTCTGGCTTGTGAATAAAAACAAATGCTGCCTTGGTTTTTGTTTTCCCTTTCAGTACGTGTGCCAGCCAAAAGAAAATAGAAAAGAGAAATTCCACATCTGCACTTGAGGGAGCAAAGCTCTTTAAAAGGCAATTCCGCAAAATAACTGGAAATATATATTTAACTATATATATCCTAGTCAAACTCACTCGACTACAGCATTCCTGCTTGTTTTCTTTTCATCTGTCTGCAATTTAATGAGCTTGAAAAAAAATAGAGAATTTATAATACCAGTGTAATTTAATGTTACAAAAAGCATAGAATGCAGTTACTTATCCACATTAAATTATATGCTACCTAATTACCTACTCTACACTTTTATTATTACAGAGCTGTCTTCATTGCGGATCAGCGCTTTCTGGCACTCAAACAGCCAGACAAATACTGGACACTGCAAATCAAATATGTGCAGGCGCGGGATGCTGGCACCTACGAGTGTCAGGTCTCCACGGAGCCCAAAGTCAGCGCGCGCGTGCAGCTGCAAGTTGTTGGTAAGTCACAAGGTCCTTGGACAAGGACACGGACATGGACACGGACACGGACACTAATACGGACACAGACACGGACACAGACTTGAACACGAGCAAGAGCCGAGAACTAGTGCTTGGCCAGCTGCAGGCCAGAGCATATTGGGCGCATGCAATTAGGACATAATATGAAAGGTCAAGAGGCAACGAGCATACGTATACATAAACACATGATATGCAAATATACACATATATATATATATATACATCTCTATATAAATATGAATATGTTCATTTGAAAAGTTTTTGGAATGGTGTGCACTTGAGGGCCTTTGCTCAGAGCCACGTTAGGCACGACTGACCAGTGCCACAGCTTGACAGTCCAACGAGTTGGATTGCGAAGGAGTGAGACAGGTGCTGTCTACATGTGCCGGAATCTTTGCATCTTTGATAAGGCGACTGCAGTTGAAATTGTTCACAAAACTGCATTTAAATTGCGGTGGATGCTGTATTTCCATTGAAAATATTTTTGACCCCGCACTGAGCAATTTCTCCCAAGTTTTTTAACGAGAAAACTTTTATGTGAGCTTCTCTTTTTGGGTTCGTTCAACACACACACAAACACAAGAATACGCACACTTCAGGCCAAAAAAGTTAATTAAATTTCATGTGTGCACTCCGAACACACACACACACACACAGAGAGAGACCCCACACACGCACACAAAACACACAATGCAAATGACCATAAATGCCTTGAGGTAAAATAAAATTGAACCGAATGAGGAATGTGTATTGCTAATTGACATTAAATGACTAAGTGGGCCATCACACTTGGTATTAAATTAATGAATGTCAATTTTCTTACCTAAAATGTTCCAAATGGAAGGATTATATACAATCACAGCAATTTGATTACAACAAAGTATTTTGCAATTTTGCTGGTTTTCTTATAGACAATTATTGTGCTCGTAGAAAGAAATTTAGGTACTGAAATATTTCTGAAAATATCCAAGCTTTATTTCAACTAGTTTCCAGCTGTTCAATCGAAAATACTAAAATTATTTATACGATTATGTCTCTCATGCGCCTCTCGAATCCATACCAAGTGTTAGTTCAGAAACTAAAAGTAATTTGCATTTTGACAACCCAATTGATTATCATGCCATACAAGATACACTTTTGATTTTATGTTGGCCAAGATAACGGAAAAAATCGAAGCTAAAAAGCAAACGGATACGGCGCTAGCAAAGGAGGCTAGAACAGCGCAGACTCGATAATAATGCGCTGCCAAAAGTGATTTTCGCATTTCCGGTTAGGCTAATTTGTATGCCAAGCACTTGTGCCCAAGTGTGTTTGCTTGTGTGTATGCTTATAGGCATCGGGACACCACTGTTATGTGGCATGTCGGGGCCAACAGGTATCCCGTATGAATGGGAAGCCCGTGCCAAATGCTCGACAAGCTTGACAAGCAGACAGCAGAAGAGGGGGCCAACAAGTAAATTATATATGCGCGGCCACATTTTGCGTTAATCTAACGACAAGTTGAGCGCATAAAGGATTTCTATGCGTTGCCGAGATCGACTCTTGAATACAATAGATTTTGGGCGCTGTCAAGGGAGGCTAGAAAAGGAAAACAGCCCTGCAGCCTTTAGCCTTTTTCTATTGGCGGATTTCTTGGCCAGGAACAGGAACAGAAATAGGCAGCAACCATTATTTGCAGCCATTTGGCACTGCGCCGCCAGCTCGTGGCCCATTTCGAACTTGGCTTTGTCTAGTTTGTACACTCGGAGAAAAGCAAAGTCTTGTCGAACATTGCATTTGAATTTTTGACAAATTTAGAGATAAATAAAAATATGTTCATATCCAAGTGCAAGAAAAATTGGTTTTGGTTAAAGCTATTTAAGGTGCACATCTATTTTATTATGTAGAGGATATATTTTTTTTAGTGTAGCTCCTTGAAAGCCTGATTTGGATTGCTGACTGTGGTGTTCACTCCGCTGCCATAACCATTATCGCCAGCACCTAGTTCCCTAGTTTCCCAATGCCCCTTTGCTGTATTTTCTGATTTTTCTTTCTCATGTTTTTTTTTTTTTTTTGGCTTGCCTTTTTTTTTTTTTTTTGATTTTGTGCCCTGCCATGTAATTTGTATTTATTGCATCGTTTTGTCTGTGCAAACGACTAAAACTCCCTTTGCATGTTGTCGATTTGCGCCTGGCCGCCTCCCTTCTTTAACACTCCCGCTGCCTCGTGCCCACTTTAGCGCAGTCTGCTCTGTGGCTGGAACTGGACCTGGACCTGGACCGAGTGGTGTTCATGTTGCTCCAGCACCCAACGTGGACCAATTGCCAATGTATTTTATGCTCGGCTCTGTTTGCTGTTGCTCGCCTGCCTGCCTGATGCTTGATTTCTGAGCCCTCTTGGCCATTGGCTCGTTGGGGTAATGGGATCGTAGTTTTCGGTCAATTTGTTATGCCAATGCGTGCGTGTGTGTTCTCTCGAATTTGTTTTCTTTGTTGTTGGTTAAAATGTCAGTTTCTTTGGTTTTGGCTCATTAACTTGATGGTTTTCTCCGCACAATGGTTAAAATGAACGCAACAACTGGCAAATTATTGGAAACGTTTGAATAATTGAATTTATCAGCCAGTTCGTAACATTCATTGTAATGCTTTAAAAAATCATTAGGCTTAAACATCACTTTGTTACTCAAACAGTGACAAACTGAGCTCCACAGTGTGAATTTGTAATCATTGTGCTCTCAATATGTTTATTCTTTATATAGACTAATCACCGCACATGTCTCAAATCTGTTTTATTTATATACATTTTGGTAAAAACCATTCGGAACAGAAAATTGAATTTTCGCCCATTGTGCGCCAATCCACACCCACATTCACACACACACATACACACACACAAATTCATTTGCAATGAATGAATTTATTTTTTTCTGCATCATTGAACGACAAACTAGATTTGGTTTTATGAGATTTGTTTTCTGCTCATCTCATTTGGCTTCCAGCTTCCAGTTTCCTCTTTCCATTCTTTTTTTTTATGCTCATTCATTTACAGCATTTGGTGGGGCTCTGTTCGTCTGCTTATTTAATTTGCTGCTAATCTTGTATAGCCAAATCCGATTTTTTGTGGGGAACGCATTTCGTTTTGACGCTTTCGGTTTTATCTCGCCATCAAAAGTGACAATTTCGAAATAATGTTCATGGCAGACGCAGCCTTTGCCACCCGGTGGGGCGGACTGCAAATTTGAAACTGTACTAATTTCCCTAAAAGCATTTCGCCATAAACCCAATTAATTTAAGTTGCCGTAATTCTTTTCACACTATTCGCCCATTGCTCCCATATTCCTTTGTCCTCCCTGCATTCAGTTGAGAATTAGCTAAAATTGTGGTTAAGGCTTTTGAAAGTTTTCTCTCTGTTCTCTGTGGTCATGTGGTTTCGTTGACGCTTATCTTACTGTCACTTACCAGTACAAATGCACCCAAATTTAACTTATATCTTAATGAATTTTTGTTAAGGATTCCGTTCACCGTTGGATATTTATACAAATTTCAATCAGTTTTTGCTGGAAATAATATTTTGTCATTTAGTTTGTATACACAACAACTCCTGCAGAGAGATTGCCATAGATTTTATATCATTTTTGACAAATTATTTACTAGAGCAAAAAAAGGAAGGGAAGAACTGACTCTGGGACTGGGTGTGGGAATTGGGATTTGGGGTTAAGGGACGCTGGCTAATAATATTGCATATGCTCTTAGCTGTGGTGTGCATATTCAGTCAAGCGACTGGAAAAACTAACATGCACAACACGACGATTTTGACAAGCTGACACAGTTTGGTGTCAAACCAAAAAAGGAAAGAGCCTGCACACACACACACACACACACACACACACATAGTACACACATGCGAGCAGACAGCAAGCATTTTGTGCAAATTCTCAGCACATACGTTCTGCACAGTGTGCGTATGTGGGTAACAGCAGTGTAAACCCGTCGTATACGTGATTTTTGTCGAATTTGAAAGCGCACGTTGCCGTCGCCGTCGCCGTCACCGTCGCCATCACCGTCGCCGTCAACGTTGTCTAGCAGAGCGAGAGGTGAAGGAATTGCAGAGGCCAGCAACATCCCGTGATGTGATGTGTAAATGTATGTGCCAACAATTTCAACCTTCGTCTATGTATTTTTTATAGCATACAAACTCGCATTTTGACACAACTTGTAAGTTGTAACTTGTAACTTGTAACATGTAACATGCAACTTGCCGAGGCATAGTTTGTTATGCATGTGCGTGCCTGTAATGCTTGGGGTGTGATGGCAAATGTGTCTGGGGTGGGGTGGAGTTGGCCAACTGATGGAATCAGTAAGTGAAAAATTGAAAAGTGGATTTGCCCGCCCAGCAGAGCATGGTGCGCAGATTTACGTGTGCGACGTGACTGGCTGCTGTTAATTCAATAGATTAGTGCCAATGTCACAATTTCACACAGACACGATTCCCATTTTCCATTGAGTTTCACTCCTCATCATCATCATCATCATCAACATCAACATCAGCAACAGCAACAGCAACAACAACAAAATTATGACCTCATTGTGATTAGAACATTTCTGTTTGGCATTTGCTTTGCCGTTACAGTTCCTCGCACGGAGATACTTGGCGAACCGGATCGCTATGTCAAAGCTGGCAGCAATGTCGTCCTGCGCTGCATTGTGCGTGGCGCCTTGGAGCCGCCAACATTCATCATGTGGTATCACGGTGCCGAGCAGCTGGCCGCTGATTCTCGTCGCCATCGCACGCAATTGGATCCGAATTTGCCAGAGGCCAGCGGTGAGGGCCAGAGCACGGTGAGTCCTACCAATTGTTCCCTTGTTGATTTTAATTTAATTACTCTTGATTTCAAATTGCTGTTCGCTGTTTTGTGTGCCCATGTCCGTGTCCTGTGCGTTTTGCTCTGTGTCTCTGTCTCCCCCGCTTCATCTATCTTCTTTGGAGCAGAAAATTACAATATTATTTCATACTTGCCTCACTGATGTGACATTTCCTGCCACGCCCCACAGAAGTTTTTAAGGAAAATTGGATATGCCCTTTGGCAACGTGACTCGCACACTCGTTAAATATTTAGCTTACGTGTCAGAGACTTGTCATAAACGTGGCTATTTTATTCTGCTGTTCAAGTTTAAGTTAATGCGTTAAATAGAAAGCACTCTTTGCAATAATACCTTTAATAAATGCAAACATATATATGTTCATTTTTAAATCCGACATTTGCAGATTGGCTCATTAATCATCGAGTCGGCCAAGAAGCGTGATACTGGCAATTACACTTGTAGTCCGTCAAATAGTCCCAGTGCGACGGTAACGCTCAACATTATAAATGGTAAGTGCAAAAAACCACTTTATGACAGAACACGTCTAAAGACTTAAAACTACATTTCGGAAATAGTAAAAGACTATTAAATTTATATATATGTTTTATAAACTTGACAATAAAAAAATGAAAATATATGAATATTATTATTCTTTTTTTAAATTAAAAAAAATAGATAAGAACGATGTTTTATCAAAATGAATTTCCTTGTTATTGAGCTTAAGTTTTTGTGATCATTTTAGGCGAATCATCGGCCTCGGCGGTGACGTCATCAGCGCCTATTACACGGGCATACACTTTCAGCATTCTGGCATTGTTAATCAGTGTTATACTCATTGGGGTTAAGCAACGCACATGACAAGTTGAGGCTGCAGTCATGAATATGATTTAAGCTAAGGAATATTAGGAAATGAGGAAACGCTGTTGAAGCACAGCAGCCATTGGCTTAAGTAATATACAAATATGCAGCCAAAATTATAAATATACAAAAAAAAAAACATAAATAGAAAAAAAATACAAATAATAAAATGCAAAAAAAAATTAATCGAGTACATGTTGTAAGTTAGTTTATTTTATTTGCTAACTAGTTAAATAAAAGGAAAAAAATACGTGGAGAAAAACGAGGAATCTTACAATGGTACAGAAGTTTTTGACTAGCTTCAACGGCAAAGAAAGCAACAAAATTGTTCTACAAGCTCTAAGCATATAGTCGTACAACTTTAGACATAAGCAAGCATACATATACATAAATATGCATTTATATATTTATCTGATTTTCCATTTGAATGTATGTGGAAAAATATGAGTATGTTTGCATAAATGCATAAGCGTAAATATTTATGCAGCATAAAACGAAATTGCATCGATATTTTTAACAACCACTGCATGACTATTTGGATGGAAGCAGAGGCAATGACTCCAGCTCCAAATAAAGCTGAAATCATATTTGAAAAGAAAAACACATTCAGTTGGACCACAGAAACGCATTCCCATTGCAAAATATTATATTCAGAGTAAGATAGAAACAGCGAGTGTGTGAAAGAGAGGGATAGGTGAAGATGCATGCTGCATTATTCAAGTGGCACTCAAATGTTATTTGCCTTGTTTGTCCTCTAAACAATTTCTACCTTGCAATTGAAGCATTCTATAGTCAATTCTTTAATTGAGCACAAATTGATTTTATTAAAATATGGTCCACTGAACCAATTGAAAGCATTCCTGACCAGATCTATACAGTGGCATCTGTAATATTTATCTAATATTTGCCGTGATAAAACTGAATTTTGTTTTTTTTTTCCAAATAATTTAAATGATGCTTTGGAAGATTACTTATATTTATGTTTTGCTTCACAAAAATGTTACATGGTGGATTTATAGATAATTGTTTGCCATAGTTCAACGATATTTGTGTTGGGTCATAAATACTTCCAAATCAATATTGGACAAAAAAAAAATAACTCGTAAACATTCAAATTTACATAAAAATAAAATTCTATAGATAAAAATATGAAAATAATTGATTGAGACTTCGTATGTAAGCATTAAAGGCTAAGGTTCAACTGTACATATAACTGTATTGTGTAATGTAAAACAAACATGTAAATTAATTGATTATACGAATTAAAAAATATATATTAAATAAAAGAAATATAGCACACGAAACTTAAGCTGAGAATTAAGCGCAGAGTATTCAAAATACTAACAAATTGCATTTAAAACGATACGAAAAAAGTTCGCAAAACAGAAAACAGTTCACAAGCAGCATGCGAATTGCATGAATTCATATTTATTTACTCACTGAATGCCATTTTTAATTATGTGAGTAAAATATTATATAAAAAAAAAAAACAGACGTAAATGTACGCGCACGTAATAATAATTAAACAAGGAAATCCATAAAATTGCGCAATTTAATAAAGGCGCTGGCGTTGTCTTTTGGTTTGTTTTTACATGCTGCAGTTGCAATTAAGTTGAAGTCCAATGGGAGCCAAATAAAGAGCCAAAAGTATAACATGCGAAAAAAAAAACTATCAAGGCTTAATTGCAATTAGTCACTGCGCAACAACTTAAAGTCCAAATAATCGAATGTACATTAATTATACTCAATACAAATATAAAAATAAAATACATAAATGCATATGCATGACGATTGGCGTTGCGGGGCGTGTGAGTAACCTTTCGATCATTAATAAAACCAACCACAAGCAGCTGTGACTAAATGAGGCAACACGGTGGTCAACAGTCTGCGGCACCACGTAATTCCTTTTTATATTTTAAGCCCCGGCAAAAAAAAAAAAATCACGTATCAAATGTTTGCGGTCTTTGTGGTCAGCCTTCTTTGAGCGGATGCAAACAAGTTACAACTTTGAAGTCCCTTTTATTTCGAGAAGCAATCCGTGTAATTTCAACCCCTCTTCGAGTCACTCACATAGTTAACTATTTAATCCAACATCCGTTTAAATGTTGAAACATGAATTTAAACTGTAAGTCAAATCGAAATGATAGCAAAAATACTTCAAAACGAAATCAAAATACATTTCTAAGCTCTTAAGTGTTTTTCATAATGCTAATTAATCGTGACATAAGGAAAGCTTTGTCACTAATACTTAATTAAACTAAAAAAAAAAAAAACTTAATAATCGTAACATTCTAATGCAATCGATGCATGCAAAAAGGTAAAACTGAAAATGTTTCAGTGCATTAGTAAATGTTAAAGAAATACTTATTTGTAAATATATGCCACAGTGAAGGAAAGAAAACTGCATAACATGGAGATACATTTTAAAATACATATACACTATACATATACACAGTTATGTGCAAACATATAGCGAAATTACAGTTAAGTACCAACTAATAACTACAAATAAACAAGTACTTATATGTAAACGAAAATAAACTATGTGAAACTCTCAACGGAGAAAATTTATTGCATTAAATAAATAATAATCTGAATAATAAAACAAAAAGAAATTAGTTTTGCATTATTAATTTTGTTATTTATTATTCAGAAAATAAGTGATATATGGTGATTGGCTGCTGTGAAGATGATATTGAAGAAAACCTGGTTTTTGCAGTTGTGTATAAACATGCGCTGATCCAGCTGAAAGAAAATCAATCTGATTACTCTACATATCCAAACTAATTGTACGGGATATACTCACAGCAAATAATTGGCATAATCAGAATGTATCTAAATTGATATTTCATTGACTGGCAGCATTGATTGTGTTATGGAATCAGTAATGATTTGACGTGACTGATTATCCACGGCACAGCCGCGCACGATGATGATCATGTTCGAGTTGTTGATGTCATCTGCTACCAATTGACCTACGGCGAAGGCCTTCAGCTCGCCTGTGTCAGATTTCATCACAATGGCCGGGACTAGGCTATAAATGGTACGATCAGTGTTCACACCATTTTCCAGCATTGGACCGTATATGGCAGCGGCCAGACTTTTGGCAATAGTGTTTACCAATTCCTCACTGATTGTGATATCCGCAATACAGTTATCGACGGCATTTTTCAAAAGAAGTCGCGTTATTTCCGTCGTATTTATAGCGCACTTCATATTGATAAGACACTCGTTGCTATCCTTAGGCATCACACTATACGCAAACGAAAGTGACTCAATAATGTTTGACTGTGTAGCTTTATCCACATCAATCAGCGTCTTGAATTCGTTTGAGGGGAAATTCATTATATGCGTGTCTTTGAATTTTTCGGCCCGTTTACTAGAGTCATCATAGAGTTTTTGAACCTGGAACTGCAAGGACGGTTTGAATAGCAAGCCCATAGCGGAACTTGAAGCTGTATTTACATTTGTAGTTGGTAAGTTATTATCCATATTCACTTTTATGTAAATAAGATTAGTGTGCTAAGGATAACCACAAACGTATTGACGTTGCCAAAATTAAAAGCACGTGTTCCAAGAATCGATTATGAATGACAGATATCGAAAATGCAACTGCTTATCGATACTTAAGGCTACGGTTAAATTGATGACATACATATGTATATTGAAACAGACCGAGACCACCCTGTTGCTATTCGTATACAGCCTCACGTTCAGTTAGATGCCGCTGATTGTAAATTGATAATAAGTAGAGTTCGCTATAAAAATAAGTTCTGGCTGCACCAATATTGGGTAAACTATCTAGCACAATCACACAACACTAAATAAATCTACTCATCACTAATCAGCTGATTCAAGACTTCACTAATTGCAAATGGGAACAAAACTAGAAAACAATATAAGTCAATTGGTGGTTTTATTATTGTTGCCATAAAAACTGTGTACCATTCTGTGGTGCTAGAGGTAAATTTATAATCAGAACCCTAAAATTCAAATTTAAGATGTTTAAAAGAAAGATTTTGATTCTACAATTTTTTATCCTTAAAATACGCAGTGAAATCGATGCTTTCATATATTTCCGACCGCCTGGAAATATCTGCAGTCAGCTGCCAGGCATGAACCGATATGCGACATTATGAAAAATGCAGTTGCGATCCGTTTTTAAGGCTGGGTGCATATATGAGCTTATAATAGCTACGTAGGGAGAAAAATGAAGGCCTGGAAAAGCTGTGACCCTTAATAAAATCTCACTCAGAATAATAGTAGTTCTTATGTACATACCAGATTCGTTTAAATTGATTTGATTGCTTTTGACTTTAGCCGGTTGCCGGAAACTTGTGAAAAATGTACGTGAAATTGTCTCTAGATAGATATACAGTTTAAAGGTAATACGTTTACTTGTGTCTGTTTTTGCTGACCTTGTATATATAAATGACCTGGCTGAAAACGCAATGCGGCAAGTCTTTCCAGGCGATGCTGTGCAGCAAGGTCGGAAATTGTCAAAAGGATGGTACTTTATAATAAACTATTATACTACTATACCGTTGCTATAGATTTATATATATACATTTAAAATTTACAAAAGCTATGGCTACAGTTGGGCCACTTAAAGAATTTGATGTAATTTAATGGGATACGAAGCATTCTGATTGAATGGACTCGCAGAAGTTTGATGGAAAAATTCAATAAAGGAAATGTGAGCAGAAAAGTTTGAAATAAATGCAGCATCCTTGAGAGAAGAGCACCTAAATAAAGTTACAAAAAATCACAGAGTACACAATTTAGAAGATAGCTCGAATGCTGTTTTTAAAGAATTCAATTCAATTAAAGTTGTAAACTAAACGTAACTAATGCCAAATCATTGAATATCAATTAGCAAAAATTGTAAACAGTAAGAATAGTAAACTATAATCAAGGTAAAGTCTGTTTCACCTATTTATTTTTGCCTTTTGAAGTCTTTCGCATGAATCCCCTAATTAAATGACACTTTCCAAAGGCGGATGCCCCAGCATGTACTTTTAACATTGGCACGTCGTGTTCAAATGCAAAAATATGCTCACAGAAGCCGCGTAATTTTCTAAATAAGGTCTAATGAGTGCACATTTATGGTAAAGGAAGCTGGCAAAGAATACTTAGGTTGTAAGCCGAGCAGAGTGTTGTTGGCTGGCTACATGGCCCAAGTTTTTTTCTACTCTTTTTTTGCGCTTATAACAGGGTCAAACTAAGTAGGAAATGCAAAGTGCATTCACATTTTGATTTCATTATTGCCGTTCACTGAAAAAACCTGACTTCCGTGTGCAACGTGGCACTTCCCCTTTTAGCCCAAACATGTTTCCAGTTTGCGCTTGAATGCATTCTATGGCGTCTATTATGGACCAAGACTTCTCTCGAGGACAGAAGGACGTGAGTCAATGCCTGTGGAAAGCAAAGTCGGAAAAGCGACACAGATTTGTCCGCAAACGCCAAGCGCCTTACGATTTAAAACCTCCCCAATTCAGTGTCTGGGCGCTAAACTTTTTTGGTGTCAGTGTTAGTTGGGCGCTTTGAATAAAAGCTGTGCGGTTTGAAAGAGATTTACGTTTTGTGGCAATCAGCCCAAAGCTATTTAACCAACAACAAAAATATCTGCTTACTGATTTCAGTGTGGTTCTGTTATTGGTTTGGATAAAAGGCCTTAAATTATAAATAGATTGTTAGAACCATGCTTACGAGAATTTAATGAAATATTCAAGCGAGCTTTTGGTGAATGCCAAAATATAAACAAATTCTCCGATTTTTGGAGAACTAAATTATATAAACTCTAATGAGCCCATTAAAGGAGAAACACAGAAAAAGTTTCTTTTCAACCATTAATCACCTAAAAAAAATAAACAATTTCTTTCATTTGAAGGCTGTGTCTGACAGAAAACCAGTTTTCAAGAATTATGCAAAAGTAAGAAGTTTTATGGACCTTTTTGGTCAGCAATACTTTAAGATGACAGTCTCACCCCACATAAATAATGTCAAAAAGGCGGAAACATGCAACACCGCACAGGCAGAAAGTAAACAATAAAAAGGACATTGTTCTGAAGGTCGCTGGTTAGAATAACGAATTTCCTTTCCAAAAAGTTCCAGTTAAAAGTTATACATCAATGGCAAGGAGATTAACATTTGGGCAACAACCCCATTAAAAATGGGTGCCAAAACGGAAGCTTAAAATGGTGACACCGGACTTGAAATAATTTCAATTTTGTGCATTTCCTTGCGCACCAGATTGCTTCCGAAAGTCGAAGAAAAATATTAAAACTGAATTTAAAATTTTAATAAACTTTTGCCACATACAACTTTTCTATGCTCACAATTCGACTCTGTCTCCCTCGCTCTCTCGCTCACTCTCTCTCTCTCTCTCTCGCTCTCTCCCTCTGTCTCTCTCTCTCTCGCTCTTTCTCACTCTGTTTCTTTCTTTCAAGCTAGTTGCAGTTGTTGCGGGTAAAATGTAACCTCCGGTTGCCCTTCGTCTACCTCTCGGTCTTCTGCTTTCTAAAAGCCGCAAAGTGGCGCTGCCTTTACACTACTTGGCTCAAATATCCGCTGGGAATGAGGCGTCATTGCTTTACACTTTTCTTCTAGCGCTTTTCATTCATTTAATTTTGGTTCTGGCACCAGCTCCCTATTCTACTTCTTAGCTGCCACTCAGCGAGTGGTGCAGCGGGGCGTGCGAGGTGTATCCAACAGATGCCACTTGGGTATTTAACGTTCGCTAATGCCCCGCAGCCGCTGCGGTGTAAATGGGGCGTGGCTGTAGCCGCAGTCACAGTAGCTGCGACCGGCACCCAAAAAAACGAAGGCGACAGTTGGCGGCCGTTTCCTAATTACAAATCAGCGGTGGCGCCCGAAAAGCAGACCAAAAAAATATCCTTGTTGTTTAAAAAAAAAAAAACCTCAAAGAAATTACATTTCTCTTTTCACTATATTTTGTTGTTGCTTTCTTTCGACTTTCTGGGTCAACAATTATGCAAAATACTCTTATTCGCGGCGCATACCGTCGCATTTATCTGTCCTTTTGGTTTTTTTTTTTTGTTTTTTGGACCTTTCACAAAGACCGATCCCTCCTCTGCTCCAACTCGCAGACCAAGCACCAATGGGGACCTGCTCGCATCCGTTTTATAATTAGTTTGCTGGCCCGCAACACAACACAACAAGAAAAAAATCAAATATATAACAAATAAAAGCGTAACAGAGAAGAAAACAGTTTCTAAACGAGACTTAAAGATTTAATTGCCTGAAATTTTGTTGAGTGCTTTGCACGATTATAGCCTTTTTTATCAACATCGCCATAAAAATAGCCTTGATTTAATTATTCCTCTTTTTTTTTTTGTTTTACTAATAGTACATCACCATCAGGCATCATAAGTACTCTGTGTAGCAAATATATTTTGGATTATGTAAATAAATTGTTATCTATAAAAAATGTTGTTTATTAAAAGTCATAATTGTCGGAAGTAAATTAAAATTCTATTCCGCAATATAAAATTGACAAACTAAGTTGAGATGTTATTTAAATGTTTTGAAATAATAGGAAATAATTCCAGCATTAAACAGCAGAATTCCAATTTAAGGTCTTAATATTTTGCAGACCTGTTAAGTTGCTTTAACTAAAACTTTTAAACATAAGCTTAACATATTTGTTAGTGTACAAGACTCACTCGCACACAAATTTATAAGTTATTTGAGGTGCTTCCATTAGTAAGCCTGGGGTTTAATTTTGGTAGTTCGACTTCCTGTTCGTGCAGTGTATTGTTCGCAAATTAAAAACATGCAGAGCAAATAAACGAATTGACTTTATCTTAAAGGAATTATATGTTGCTTTCTCATTTTATGTTTATGTGAAAGGAAACTAAATTGTGCTCGCTTTCTTATTGTATTGGCCCACATAGAATATACTTGGCTGATTGCTCTGTATCTATAGATTGCAGTGAAGCATTAAGCCATCATATCAACTCACACTTGCTTTAGTTGCTCTGGGGATATTTGTATACTTATTTGTATAATAAGTAATTTTATAGTAAGGGAGTGCCTCTCTCTTTTTCTTGCGTCTTCTATGCGAGATTACGGCATTAGCTTGAAAGTTGAAACAACTGTCATTCCTATGTTTGAGCTTCGTTGGCGACTTTACCTTATCAGCCAACCCTTTGTTCGATTGTATGAGGTTGCGGCTCTGTGTGTTGTCTGCTGCCTACGGCAAGTGCAAGTGACATCATTAACTTTTTCCACTGACTCCCAGTGACACGGGCCTGGATATATTATGGTCTTGCAGCTTTTCCGTTGCACCTTCCGTTTTTCCTGGAAATCAGTAAAAATAAAATGTCTGAAAAAGTTTTGCAAAACCTACCAGCAAGCAGTCGACCAACCAGTTTGCGGTTCTTATTTGCGGCTGCAGTCTGCTGAATACTTTTGAGGTAGCTTTGCCCTCCTCTTAGTCCTACTTTCGTGGGAAATACGCTATCAGGCTAACTGTTGCCTTTGTTTCAGTTCAGCATCAACATGCTG